TTTTTGTTGTGGATTTCAGCCTTTTTTCCTCACTGGCTGTGTACAAAAGTATAGGAGATTTTCACAGTTCAGCTTCTTCATGCATTTTTTTCGGCTGTTTTCAGCTATTTTTATTATTGGTAAATCTCATCCCTGTAAATCCCAATTTTACACTTTTAAGAGCGAAACATGTGGATTAGACTCCGTTTTCCCTTAGTGCCATGACAGTTGTAGTGCTCCCAGTTGTCCAGGAAAGCAGGGAAACTTTGAAGTGTTTTAATGTAGCACACCTTGCATTTAGTGCATTTAACTAAATAAGAATATAAAAGATTTTCATACACTGGAGAAGAGTACAAAGTTGCTGAAAAATTGTGTCTATTAAACATTCATTGTGGCTTGGCCTTAAATGTTTCAACAATCTTGTATTGCATTTTGATGATTTAGAGATAGGCCATGCAAGGAAGCTTTTATTGGTGTACGCGTGGAATCAAATGTTTAGAAGAATCGAACGTAATCTTCATTTCGAACCGGAGAAAAAATCATTTCTTTGTAACCTTTCGAGCCTCTAGCCTTGGAGGTCTGTTTCTGTTGCTCAGTGAATTCTTTGAAAAGCGGTTTGAGATGCCAAAATTCAAGAGACAGCTTTACCTTGAAAGTTGAACACTGCCCTCATGTGGCGGCTCTTGGCCAGCCTGGCTACCCACTCCCAGCCCGTAATGTGTATACATGGGAAAAACTGAAAGGTGCATTGACTTATTCTCCAAGCATGGCAGTGTTGGATGCCAGCTACTGATAATAATGCCTGGAGTGGCTCAGATATGAAGTGGTAGAGTTTAATGTACTCTGGCTGTACAAACATATGTCAGCAGGGCTGATAGGTTTATTAATAATGGGAGGGGGGGCTGGCTTTCAATTTTTTTCCTAATACCTATCTCTTCCAGTAACAGATGCCCCGGGCCCCATGCAACCTTAAAGGGGTGGTTATGGAGATTGATTGTTTGAGGGCTTGCAAAATTACATGTTGGCTACAGGGTTGTTGGCATAGGATTCGACCAAGTGGAGATTGTCACTTTAAGTATTGCTACTGAAACAATGAAGTGATGCTAATTTTAATTGCTGCAGAGTTCGTAAGTCACAGGGTAGGATTACTAGCAAGGATTTGACCCATTCAATTTCCATGAAATTACCTGCACTGAATGACATGTCTTTAATGAGTTAATGACAGATAACAGCAGCACAACGTAATTGTTGCCTTGCAGAGGCCAAGAAAATCTAAAAGTCTGAGAAAAATTATTTTGGGACAGTATTTAATTACACAGTGATCGAATTCAGCCTTGGATGCAGCTGTTCGTGAAAATGACTATTTTTGCAGAAATTAACATTTTTTTATCAGCCTCACTGCTAACTCCATACCAGACTAATCAGAGGAGCTTTTTCATTTGCATTGAGGAGTAGTGGGAGCAGGCTTGCCTCAAGCCTCACAGATCCCTCAAAATCCATCGGAAGGTTTGGGAAGATGTGAAAGAAAGACTCGGTCCCAATCACATGGTGCTTTATTCCCTTCAGTCATCACCATTTTCACAAAGACAGGAATTTGGCCAACAATCACCACCTTCTCAAATTCCAGATTATTGGCCACATCAACTTCCTAATCTTTTTGGTGAAATCACTTTGACAAAATCTATTGAAATCAACCAAATCACAGTTTATTCCTTTGAGCAAAGTTCAGTTCAGCTGCAAATTTGGTTTTCATGAAAGCGAAGTTTCTGCTCCATAGAGATTACATTGAGCTACATGTATTCAGAATGGAATTGGTTTTGCATTTTCATGAAGAGGCGAACTTAACACTGGAATTATATACATAATAGCAATTTTGCACGCAATGGCAGCAGCAGGTGTGTTTCTAATTCCGTTCCACTACTTTTTGAGTTTACACAAAGGGGCAAACTGTCGGTGAATGAATAATCCTGAGTTATAGTTAGGGATGAGACAGTACAATTTCTCACATTTTGTAGGAGGTTGAGGCATATGCCGTCGCACAGTGTATTAAATTAATCAGCTACTCAGTTAATCTATACAAATTCTGTGTATAAAAGAGTGACCTACTTCAAATGTGGTTTCCTTGAAAATTTACTTTAATGCAGCAGGGAGAAATTTATTTTTGCCTCTTTGTTCAAACGGTGAATAGATGCAGAAGCACCAGCTGCAGTGTATGTGTCATTAGCTTCCTGTTGTGGTTTTAGTAGATGGAGGGTACAAGAAGGTTTGTCATGGTATCAGTTAAAGTTTGGTTGCATTTGGATACAGTGTTTAAACATTAATGACAACACCCTGGCAATATATTTAAAGATTAGAAACATTACAATAATACAGGAAGGTTCTAGCAGCGTCATTCAATGTGTGGAAGGTTCTAGCAGCTCATTCAATGTTTGGAAGGTTCTAGCAGTTTCAGTCAATGTGTGAAAGG